GTGTCTCCCCTAGGGCGCCTCTGCGGACATTTGAAGGTATTTTGGCCTCGTGGCCAGTTTTCAAAATTTGGAAAAATGTGGATTTTCCGGACTTGTTTTCAGTATAGATGCAAGCGGGGTGGTTTTAACTATGGAGCAATATATGGCATCAAGAGAAGATGAATGGTAAGTTAATACATACAGAGGGATTTCCTTGGAAATAAGGACCATACAGAGGGAACTCCTTGAGTTCATCCTCTCTTGATGACGTTTAAAAGAAACAGTAGACATAAAGAAATAGAGAAAGATGCTTACTTGAACTTTGAATAATCTTCCTCAGCAGGTTGTTGTTCAACGAGAGCTCTGACGGCAGCTAACATTAGCCACGCGTAATTACTGTAAGCAAGGAGACAAAAGCGTATATGAATTCATTAATAAGTAACATTTATACTTGCTGGGCATCAAACTGGAGTGACTGCTGCAAAAACATAGTATCGCCAACGCTTATGCCTTGCAATAAGCAAATGTTGACACCACAAATTGACGTCAGTTTTTTATGCGTCTATCCTCTAAATTGATGATAAATTGCGTCATAACATTGTCAAAGTGGCTGTGGTTCTGTAGTAAACTTTGACAATGTTATGACGAAATTTATCATCAGTAAGAGAGCAGACGCATAAAAAACTGACGTCAATTTGTTTTTTTACAATAACAAGACCCCAAAATGGTCAAATGCCGGAAATAAATGAGGGGAAAAGACGCCGTAAACTTGCCATAAACAAAGATAAGTGAATTTTATTCAAAATGAAGGGAACATTGTCAATAGCTTTTCTCGCTTTTTGATTGGCTACTTTAAAAAAGTCCATAAAAAATCTCATTGGTTAAAAAGTTGACAGTTTGACAGCTGAAAGTTGAACTTGAAAGCTTGCATAAATTAACATTTGATCCGTCTGTACTCTTATAGACGATAAAAATGAGCCAATCAGCGCGCGAGAAATTAGACAAATATTTTAAAACATTATTTTAGGATATGTTTTGCGACATTCTGAAAACTGCGCTAGACGCACGTCAAATTTTGAACTTTAATTAAATAAAAGATCAACTTTACCTGAACAGTTCCTGTGAACCTGTAGCTTTCAGCGCCATGTACATCGCGCCACAGAATCCAAGAAACACAACGACAAATACGACGCTAAAACGAGTTATATCACGGTAGATAATTCTTGCAAGAGTCTTCGTGTACAGACCGGTGGTTCTACAAAGCAAAATATGCACGTTCAATAAAATTCTTCCTTCGTGACCCATCATGCAATTTTACAATTACTCAGTTAACACTTGAACAATATTGACTTTTAGTAGCATTCGTACACCGGAACGGAGAGCTTTTCCGCATTCTGGCCACGCGAGGAAAAACGTTACCGCGTCAAATTTTCATGAACACATGACCTCTTTCGTGCGCGGGATTGCTTGCGGAAATAATTCACAATAATAAATGATAATTCACATCAATAATTAATGATAATTCACAATCATTAATGATAATTTACAATAATTAATGATAATTCACAATATTAATTGCTAATTCATGATAATTGACGATAATTCGTGATAATTAACGATATTTCACGATAATTATTCGCGATAATTAGCAAGCTGGATGAAATTAACAAATTGGAAATCTACACAGAACATAGCAAGTTTAATCATGGACATGAATCACAAAACATAAAATAATATATTCAGACAATTTTACCTGGTGACGCAGGAAAACTTGAAGAGCCGTAGGAAATTGAACAAGTAGCCGAGCCCGGCAAGACTCCATTGGGAATCAACCTCAACAAACCGAAGAGGAATAACGAGAAATGTCAAGATAAGACCCAGCCAATCAAAATAGTTATACGGATCTTTGAAATAGGTTCTCCATTCCCTACAAATGATATGAAAACTTCTGATTAATAAACTTCCAATTTTAATTACTGTTTTAACGTTACTAACTGCAGTCTACCACATTTATGAGGATAATTTTACACATTTAGCAGCCTCCACAAAGTATTTTTTCTATAAGATGTTACTGTTCGACATAACCGTGTAAAACTAAAGAGGCCAATATTACAGTGCATGTGATTCAGTGGAGGGAACGATTACTGCATAGTAGTTTTAAGGAGTTTTAATCAGTTCCCTTGTTTCCATCTACCGTATAGCTCAGTTTTATTACATTGTACTATTTGCTATTTGTGATTTATCAAAAATTCTCGCGTGGACCCACCAACTCAACCAATCATATGCAAGACTAAAACCACTCGCCACTTGGTTACAAGTGTTTTCCCGCGCTTGGCACCGATCACGTGCGTTTCCTTCGCCTTCTCGTTGATTGGTCCGTTGTCTTGTTTACGTTTGTTGTGATTCGCCACACTAATTACTTAACGACTCACCGTTCCGCTTGGTTGACCTCCTCAAAAAAGTAAAACATGAGAAAGATGATAGTGAAGATTTCACAGAATAGCCGCAGACCATCTGCTTTACCATTGTACTGGTTTGGGTCTTCAACAGTCGAGCCATGGATGAGTGCGTATGATAACAGTGTTAGAAATAATATGTAGAAAGATGCTTGAACGCTGAAACACAAAGAACAATTAACTTAAAAGAGAAAAATTCTAATTTAATTTTTAATTTTTTGTCGTAAAAAGCGGGCATTTTAATGAAAAAAAGAAAACAAAAA